GTCCTCCACATCGAATAACGAGTCCATCGTTATCAGAGTGCCTTTAGCCAAACGCCACTTTAGCGCTTGTCTAGAGAGAGAGTTGAAAACTAAAATGGGATGACACTGTCAAGTGTCAAAATTTACGTCAATTCCATATAATTTGGTTTTCTATTCTACATTTAGACAAGCGCTAAATGGCATTTGGCTACAGCTACAGGAGTGAAAACTCTCAGTCCGTGTAAGTGTGTGCTATGCTCACACATACTACATTAAATATGTGATGAGCTCCAATAATAAATCCTAATAGACCAATTGCAAATATATCATAAGTTATACCTAAACATCCAAATGTTTATCTTTTACCTCCTTCTTAAGAGATAATATTATGGGAGATTATCCCAAATTCCGATAAAATTTCAAATTCAGGGTGGCCAAAACATCAAAATAAGTGTTGATAAATAATGGGCAACTAAAGATAAAATAAAAGAAGATATCCATAAACACTTTTACGTAATGGACGTACGTAGAAGTGATTTGAACTAAAAATATGTACCCAACAGATTCTTTGCAAATTTTCGACTGTTTGACAACGAGTCATAACAGCATGGAGTATGAATGTCTTGTAGTAGTTTAACGTAGGGTTGTTTAAACTTCCTTGTTTATCTCAAACCCCTTATTACCTAACAGAAGTTTGTTAAACTTTTGTATCAAATTAATTGAACTTTTAATTGACTTTTGGACACAATCGTTATTTTTTCTTAACTGTGCCGTTAACGATAAACTGCTGAGTTAGATTAATTTAACGATTTCAGTTTTAACGTTACTGATTATTTTTACTACTGCAGCCGTTTCCTAGTTAAAATTATTGTCGTTTAGAATGTAAAAATATTGTTTATCGGTTAGTTATCGTTTTTATTGCGTAAGTGTGTGAGTTTGTACAGGGTGTTGATAACGTAATCTATTGTGTTTTTACCTTATTTTTTTGTGAATAGAACCTATTATGGGTGCTATTAAACTATGATGTTAATGTGTCTAGAACGGTCAATTTGATACTGGTCATTAAGTTCTGAAAATTGTGAATGAAGTAGATAAATATTGTTAGAGATATAGAATTTCAACTCTCCCTATTTATTTATTTGAACTTTCATATGAGATGTACTTAATATGATATCACCTCTGTTACATGTGGACGTTGAGGAGGTCCACACTCCAAAAATACCAAAGACTAAATAGCAAGCGAGCTTAATATCAAACACCGGACACCACGCCTAGCCTACCACTCAAGCCGTATATACAGCAATGTAGTCCATGGAGGTCGAACCTACGTCCTCAAACTCAGCAGCTCCTACCACTTAACCGGCGAGGCAATAGGAAATAATAATTCCTAAACCAAAGCTTTATTTACATCAATTACGGACCAGTTGGCCGATAACAAATTTTATTGTTTTAGGATTTATTTATAAAACGTTTCTAATTGCAAACCTACTATGTGCTAGACTAATTGATAGTTAGTGTAGTACTGCAGTTTATCGGCACTATTTTATTAGATCTAGTTTTGAGTTTGCACCAAACTGTGATTGTTTAGTGGATAACCTTCTGATAAGATGTAAGCATTATTTTTCTTATTGTAACTTATAATTTTTCGTAGGTTTTAGGTTTAGTAATTGGTATTATTATGTATTTCAAAGAGCATTCTTTGACTGAAGACTTTTTGCCTGCATTACCTACTTGTACATTTACAAATACAAAAGTATCATTATAGGCAATCAATTGTACATACGTGGCAACTGTCAAATATAATATCATGACCAAATTACGCAAATCTGATTCCATTGAATCGAAAATATAACTCCTAAAACAGCATAAAAGAAGTCGCCAGGCATATGTACCACAGTATGTACACGTAGCATAGCATAGCACATAGCAATAGGCTCACCCCCTATTACATGGGACTCATAACATAAATAGTGAAAAGTAGGTGTTACATTGTACAGTGGCATAATGTCGCCTCTGCCTACCCCTTCGGGGATAAAAGGCGTGATGTTATGTTCTGTTATGTACATATAGGTCACAGGTTTTAGGCCAATTAAAGCTTACCTAAACGATTTGAGGTGTCCCAACTATATCAGTACAAACATCAAGAATGACATTTCGTTTTCACTGTCTCCAAACTCTTAGTAACAAACAACGAATCACAAAAAGGCTCATGTTCAACCATTCCACAAACGAATAATATTTTAAATAATTTCTTTCTACCAATAAGTCGAATTTAATCATCTCAAATTTCGACATATCAAGCCTGCGGCCAGAACTTCGCACTCACCGTGTTTTCCGAAATAAAATATTCATTTCTGCAATAACATACCTATTTTGACTATTAAAGTCGATTGTTTTCATGTTAAATTCTTTGAATAAACTGAAGTGAATAATATTAATTACTTAATGCATAAATAATAACATTAACTTTATAACATACAAGCTCATAATTAAAAAGAGATGAAATGAAACGGTAATAAACATGAAGCCTTAAATGTGTTGAAAGATTCACTCATTTCTAGTGTAAATGAAAACGAAATAATTCACTTCAATTCTTTTTCTTTGAATAACTAGATGAGCATATACTTTTTCTACTAATTTAACTGGCAAGCAGGATTAATCTTGTTAAAATGAATATCATAAATAAAAAAAACTATATCGTGTTAATTAGCTAGTAAGAGTACTTTTTAGAATTATAAAATGAACTAATATTAAGCTTTATGTTACTCAACACACGTCGTATATTCTTTTGCTGTGCATGTCTCTTAATTAGGGCATCGTCTATCGATTTAAATAAATAAATACCAATTTCATATGCTTTTAAGTTTATCGCTTATCGTCATAACTATGTTATTACCAACTAGCTTTCTGCGTACGGCTTCACCCACGTAGAATTTAGATAATTTCTCTGAGCTATATCGGGACCAAAAAGTAATATAACGTTATCTTGATATTTCTATAGTTACGAGTACATATAAAATATCAAGAAATATCAAGGTAAAAATGTTAGCTTTTATAAACATTGCATTGATTGTTGTTTATAAACTGGCTTATAATAAGTGCTCTTCAGAAGTACATAAGCTTTGTAATGGTGACAGATCAAATCATTTGAATAACACAAGTTGTGGTTCACAATTCACCGAAAACCAACTTAAAAGAAACAAGTGTGCGAGCCAAGCTTCGACACGAATGGGCCGGCTCGATCGAAGTGATACCACGGTCTCACAGAAAACCGACGTGAAACAACGCTTGCGTTGTGTTTCGTCGTGTGAGTGAGGTTACCGGAGGCCTAACTAACCCCCTCCCTAGTCTCACGAATCGCCGAATCCTCTACAATCCTCAAATTCCCAATTCCCAAAAGGCCGGTAACGCACTTGTAACGCCTTGGTGTTTCGGGTGCCCATGAGCGGCGCCGATTGCTTACCATCAGGCGATCAGTAGGTTCGTTTCTTTTGCTTTAAAAAAAAACAATGAAATCATGTCATATGATCTCCCTATAGTAAGGGTTATTACAGAAGTTAACTCTGTAACGTAAACATAGATGCATATGTTATTTATATTTTCTCACACCATAACTTTACATAACACAACACACAGTACACAGTGCGCCTCTAGAAACAAACATACAAACGTACATACATAAAAACTAATATCAACGTATGTATATATTCAAAATTATGCGACGACAGTCGGACTCAGATCACGAATGAAAATAAAAGGAGTGGATCCCATTGTCTCATGGTGGAGTAGCCTATAGAATCCATTGTATATGTATATGTACCTACATTTATACTTATTTGTGCATCCGAATAATGATATGGAAAAGAGCCTTCCATGTTTATTTAGGGTTATATTAAAATGTATGAGCGAGATAGCGTACGTATGTGGTTCCTTTACACTTTGCAATGTGGTCTAAAGGGTGTCGTTTCTGTAGACAATTCCTGAGTGCTTTCGAAATTCGATCGAGAGACACAAAACTCAATTTAAGGTTTTAACTTATTTACTTTTTTTTGGAATTAAAGAATGTTTGTTTCAATAAAATATTTATTTACTTATTATATGAGTTTCAGTACAGTACCATACATTGAGTTTTCTATCTTCTCTTGGCAAACACATTTTAGGTTTAATTTACCAGATTTCATTGAAAACACTGTGATTGAGGGTAATTTTGGATCAGGTCTATGGGAATTTTGTCACAGCACGTATAGTATTATGTAAAACTGTATAATGACTAACACTTAAAGACATTAATAAGTAATAGAGATCAGTGCTTATCTCTTCTAAAAAGGTCCGCACCACACACGCACCAATACCAAACTATAAACAATTTTCATCTAAAACATTGAACCACCTATATAAGACGACTCAGCAGTCCATGAGAGAACGCAACTTAGTTGAGTCTGTATATTGCCGGAATCAAAAGCACCCGGCACCTTGCACTTTATACACTAACTTGCTATTGAACTTCCAATAATTCTCAGTTTCCTTAAACAACAGGTTGTGCAGGACTATGAATATCGGTTACCATTTCTCTGCACAAACGGGCCACTTGTAGCATGTATCCGTTTTCAAAGTCAAAGGAACGCATTGCCATGTCTATCGTGAACGGACCATGTTATGTATTTATGTCTCTAACATTTGCATACACTTTGTATGGGCTATGCCACTAACATGATACGCAAAAATAAATCTTATTACTATACCAAAAAGGTAAAATATTATGTAGCATTCAAGGAAATAGAAACCTGTATGGGATTACATAAGACTTACAGAAACAAAAGAGAAACCATCGATTCAACAAACCTTTTTGTCGACAGATCGCGAAGAATCCCGTTTTGATCACCAAAGAACAAAAACTGGCGACCAATCTTGCTATTATGGCTGTCCCAAACTGCAACTCAGAGACCACGGTTCAGGGTGAAATGAGCCTTGTTATTTGAGATTCAGAGTACAGTTCTGCGTGCAGAACGGAACAGGAAGGCATGTTGAAGGAACGAGAGAGTTCGGAAGATTCCCCCGCAGCCCCTGATGAGTGTGCAGGGTGCGGGGGACGGATTCAGGACAGGTGAGATTAAATAGACCACCTTATTGTCGATTACTCATATGTTAAATGAAGATCATTTTATCATTTCATCATCCATAAAGAATACGTTTTATTTCCAACGGCAACGTTAACAAAGTTCTCTTTCACCAGATATTATCTGCTAGCAGTAGACCGGCAGTGGCATGGCAGTTGCCTGCGGTGCTGTGAATGTCGACTACCACTCGACACCGAGCTCACCTGCTTCTCCAGAGACGGCAATATCTACTGCAAAGAAGACTACTACAGGTAAGAATTCTTCTTCAAAGTCGGTGGATAACATACGGCTACTAACCGTGTGTGTAATCTGACATCAGATGGAGATAAGTACAAAAAATAGATGAGTTCAGCTTGTTAACTGCCGTATTTGCGCAAATATTTATCTGGAAATATTTTCCGTGAAATGGCTCGTAGCCGCACTTGTTCATTCGATGTTCGTTACCGAAAATAGATAAAAAATACGTAAAACAAGTGAGCAAGAAGCATCGCACTTCCATTTTTAATTGAATGAATTTCCATGCACATCCAAGTCAAAAGTAAAATATCAATAGGGAATCTATTTTTTTCAAAAGTAACGGCCAGGTCAAGCTACCTATGTGAAAATTTTGTAATTGAACCGGATGGTACCAACGAAGTGTGGAGAGAAATAGTGAAGTAAAACACTCGTCCAAATATCGTAAAAATAACGAAAATTCGAAATCTACGGAAAAATCGGTGGATGCGAAACGTAAAGCAACACAAAGAAATGGACATCGAGTGATCGTCACATTTGAACGGGTACGTGAAAAATAGTGTAGCAATTTCGTTCTAAAAATTCCATACACGTACGTCACGGTAGCGGTCGGAACGGTGCGTCCACAGGATGGAATTTCATGCAACTTTAGAACACACTTTTTGTCTGACCGAAGCTAACTAAAAAACGACGATTCGTATCAACACGTCACACAATGCGCCTTTGAGCAATCTCGTTTCAGATTCATTTTTGATTTGTTTACCCGTCAAACGAAAAGCTTTCGGTGTCCAATTTAACCGAAACTCATAAATCATAGCAATCCGTTTTCACCAAATCAGCTAGAGGGGTTTTCTGAGTTGATTATTGTATCGTTTTTGGTACGTACTTGATCGTAATTGGCTCTGTAACGTCAGCTTGCGAAGCGAACTCTTCATTTTTTTTTCAATTTTTCTGCTATTGCGAAACGCTTTGCGATGTTTTTTGTCGGTCGAAAATATTGACTCGGATTTCTGTTTGATGTATTTTTAGATTCAGCGTGGTGGTGTTGCCGATTGCAGTAGTAATTGAGTGGCTACGCTGCATCATATGTCGAGATTTTTTACAAACTATTAGTGTAGACGGATTATTTTTGTTGAAGTATTTTCTGGTTTTTGTACACAAAATCATCAGCGTTTACAATTCAAACTGGGTTGTGAATATGTAGAAACAAAATACTATTTACAAAGCTTGTTCAATTATGATAATCCGATAATTAGGTACATGTTTCGCGACGCGTGTTTAACGTTTACCGAACGGCTGACGGTCGTAGGTGATATGTATAGCAATTAGGGAGCAAAGCAGGCTGTCACTCAAAGTCCACCACACTCCGCTGTTCGCACACCTGTCCACGACTTGTTTTTGTAAGCATTGCGTCAACAAGTTACTGTGTGTGGTGTATAGGTTACATACTTATATGAAAATATTTACTTCCAATTTTTTTTTTGCTTCCTTACTTCAATTCCGTTTTATTAATTGCGTGTCTTACTTTATTACATTTCGTATTCCTATGTTTTTTAATACAGTGATGAGGTCTCATGATTCAGAAAAAATGTCTCAGTAAACATCAATGGATAGATGTTGAATAAATATAAGTAGGTAGTATATCAGTTTATCTAAACGGGATTTAAGTAAGTAAACACATTAATTCAGAAACATTGCCTTATTGCATTAATTTGTCAGTTTGAACAGCGATGAACAACTAGCAACGTCATCCCCAGTTACGAGTTTGCTAACCACATGTAATGGTTTATTCGTTTTATTTGGAAAAACATGTTCATTTCGTCAAACATGTTTATTTTGTTTGAAAATAATTTTATTCAACATACAAAATTTGTAGTATTACCAGAAGCACTAATTACCCCAAATTATATTAACTACTACTAAACTTTCAGTAATGAAAATCCGTAATATCAATGTTAAACATTGATGCAGTCATATTATAGACTTAATACCTATAGTATTTTTCGTGGCTTTATTAAAAATAACCAGAATTAACAAAGAACTCAACAATTTGCAAGTTGCTAAAATATATATAGTGAACGACTTAGTGTTATGTGAAAGTGTAATAGGGTAGATGCCTTATTTTTATTTCAATTTCCGTCTGGTAGATTATTTTAAATCATTAGACACGTATTTTTATTTTCTTACAGAAACGAATACTTTCGACAATATATTGATTTGATATGTCGCGTGACGTCACTTCTATGTACATTTTAAACGTAGAATGACGTTTTAGACCTCACTCCTAAACTTTGATTTGTTTTATGTAAGTATTGTTTTATTATAGATACGACAAAATAAAAAAATACGTGTCAAATATTTCTTTTATTACCTAACTTACGGACTAATTAGATTTTTAATTTTCATACCCCGTCATCCGTCTCACCTCTCGTCTATCATCCAATATCTTCGTTACACCTTTGAATCGGCCCAATACTTATGTGAAGCCTTTCAGTTTTAACAAGTTTCATAACACTGAGATGTTCCAAAACTCAACTGATAGATATAAAATTTTTGAAATGCACATCTATACTAAAAACTCCATACGCAATGAAAAGCATAAGTGCAGGAGTCCAAAAATAATCAATTGTTTAAGGAACTATATGTTTTTTTATATAATAGGAAACTTGACTTAGTGAACTGTTTACATTTTATAGAGAACAAAACAAACTGTCATAACAATGTTTAATGTACTACTCCAGGTACAATTTGGTGCTTCAACCACCCCTCACGTTAGAAGTGGACATATGCTATAATTGTTTACATGTCTGTGGCCCGTCAGACCGATAACAATTGATTGATTATCAAAGAGAGGAGTCTAATGTTAAGTTGTCAAAGGTTGCATATTGAAGCCATTGGTCTCACCTCACCTCTTGATGTCTACAGGTTGGGGTCATTAGTCACAATGTCTTTGGTGGCTAGTGAGCCCCAACTGGAAACTATTCAGATTATTTTAGGCACACTAGAGACTAGACATTTACATACAGAAAATTATACATTTAAATTAAATTCACGACGAGTTTATTAAAACTACTGAGTTATTTTCTGCCTAGTTAGTATAGTTTTTAAAATAAACTTTTTTTATAAAAAAAATCATAAATTATTACTGTAAAACAAATTCAAATTGCCTCGTTATTATTGCACACATAACAATATAAAGTCTATAACAATTACTGTAATAGCTGTTCTAAAATAAATTAAAGTATGAAACCTGAACAATAAAATCGTCTTTTAAATAACACATAAGCATGCAACAGCTCTGTTCGTAAGCAACAGAGCAATATAATTCTCGTTGTTACAGACTATTTTGCGTGAAGCGGTGCGCTCGATGTGGGAACGGGATCACTGCTAATGAGCTGGTGATGCGTGCTAGAGATCTCGTCTATCACCTGACCTGCTTCACTTGTGTCTCCTGTGGAACTCAGCTATCTAAAGGAGACGTCTTCGGCATGAGGGATGGCCTCGTCTACTGTCGTCCCCACTACGATAATGCGTGCCTCGATGACTATTGTGATGAGGACATGACCAGCATTTACAGGTAAGTTACCAGCCATTATGAGAATTTTAAGTAGATTTTAAGAATTCTTCTCCTTGAGTACGTAGGTCGATAATAGATATATACGTAACTTGCTACATTTAATATGACAAAAAGCAATAATGATCTAAGCTTCCTGCAGTCATTTATTAAACTGTCTCGGAAACTAACATACACGAAAAGATAGGGTCCTTAAAATCATGCTAATAACTCTAAATATACAAAACAAAAAGCTAAAATCCAAAATTTACGAGTACAAAATAGACTAACAGAAAAGTATTCACTTTCAAAGATTCTTTTTCTGTTAATAGCGTAGTGCTTAAAGTTTTTACAGTTGGTAAAAGCGCGCAGCGAGTGGAAGAATTTTCAATAGCCGCTGGTTCCTTTGCAAAGATCTTTAGAAAATTTTAATACTTAGCTGGATTTAGTTTAAGAAAGTAATTTTACGTTTAGTAATCTCGATATTGTTGTTATTTCGTTGAAAGTATTGGAAGTAATATGTGGTTACTTTTAGATTTTGGTGGTTACTTCGTTTGTTATGTTTTAAAAGCCAGTTTATGGATACAATATGTGTCTATTAAGTCGGGAATCGTATGCATAACTTTTAACTTACCATAGCCAGTAGACTTTAATAAGGCGTTCGTTATTGAATTCATATTAATAAAGAGCAGTTCAGTAAGGTATTTAACGTAGTACGCTTTAAATACCTCTATATAAGTATGTTATCATTATAGTCATACACAATATACATATATATCTATAAACTATAAAAAATAAATATATACACAAAATATAGGTATATAAAAAGAAACTGACAGAAACGGTTCAAAAAATAATCCCAATTATACATAATATGTATTTCCATCTACAGACGACGTAACCCTTCAAAGCGCTTCCGATTATTTTGCCAATTAACTCGGGTCCGCTACTAATAGCCACGAAGAATTTGTAACACAAATTCCTATTCAAATCCGAGAAATATCAATCAAAATTCCACTTTATTCCATTCGTAATAAATCTTGAAATATTTTTATTTTTATCAGGTGCCAAGATCTGCATAGTGAGGGCGATTCTCCATCCCAGTACTTCAATGGAGGTCCCACTCAAAAGGGGCGACCCCGAAAGAGGAAGATAGCTCAAGGCTCCCCAGATGACATGCAAGTCCAGACGATGAGGATGGCCAGTACAGCTCTAGGTAAGTTCAAACCATCATTACCCTCAGCCCAGCGACTTGTACCAAATGCGAATTAAATAACCTTTAATATATTTTAAAAAATTTGCTAACTTTAATTATAAGTAAGTCGACTTAAAAAAGCTTTGACAAGTCTCCTTCCGCGATTCCTTTGAACTCACCGTTACTTATATTAAGAAAATATATCTTTATATTTATATTCGCATCGAGACACAGGCGATCCGGCCCCAGACGCTATACATATTTCATAGAATTCGCGCGCTCAAAATTTTAGCAGAAACTTCAGCAGGGAAATCCGAGCGCCTACCCCGATGTCCCAGATGTCAATTCATCCCGTGCCGTAATCACGACTAATGAATAGAAGACGCACTGTCAAAACTGTCTCTGTCCTTTTCTCCCTCGTTGTTTGTACGTAAGTCAGAGGGAGAAGTATATGTTTACGTGGGTTGGGTCCTCTGTCAGGGTCGGTTTGGATTATTCTTTATAACGTCGAAATGCGAGGCACTCATTGAGGTGAATTCAGGTTGTGTTGACTTGTCGACCCGATTAATAATGGTGTAAGGTTGAATGGGACGCGGGACAAACGTGGTTATGTTACTAGTATGCCGGGATCCTTGAAGTCTGTATCCGAATCATCGATCACTCGGAAGACATTGAATCAGCAGCATTATATCGAACGCATTATTTGCTTTGAATTGGAATAGGAACATAAGCTGTTACAACAATTAACCATGAAATGGAATGGCTATGTGTAATCACTCAAAGGATTTGGATCCATTAGAGATTATCTTAACAATGTACGTTTGTGCAGAGACAATGATTCATGGCGTGCCTTTGCAGTGTTTCAATGATAATATTATAATGACCTTGGATAAACGGTTTTCCCAAGTCTCCAACAAATGTCCCATTGTGCGTCCCACAAATTATCCCACAATTTAAGGATTATGAAAAATACCTCCAAGTCGCAGAAAAATACGTTCACATAATGTAAAAGTCTAGGATCAGCCCTTTAAAGTTAAGAAAAAAATAATGAAGTTGGTTTTTGATGGGTTATAAAATAACTCAATATTTCAGTGAGCTGAAATTCGAACTTCACCCTAAATAAGAAACTCGGTTTTGTAATTAGATCCTCGAAAAGTTCTGCTTCCAACGTTAAAATAAAGGAACAAAACTATTATAAAACAGAAAAATTAGCTCACCATGACTTCCTCGGGCCAAAAAACGTGAAGTGCGAGGTGCAGATTCCGCTTGGCAGAAAACATGGTTCGTTACTGTGACGAACTTTTTATTATTTTTATTTTATTTTCTGCTCAACCCCGCGTATTTAGTCCTCGTACATTTGCAAAAACTACACCTTGGATTTAATTTTCTAACGCAGTTGGTTTTTAATTCAGCGTTAATTACTCGTTTTATAATTGTATTGTCTGTTATTCAAGATAATAAAGTTTGCACAAAAACATTTTGACAATAGCTAGATCTTCTTGTGAAGGTCTCGTGACTAAAAATGTTAATGTGTTTTAAACACTAATTAGGAAATATACGCCGACTAGCCGGAAGTCTAGTTTGTCTATTGTGCAATTTGATTTGATAACGCGGAAACTGAAATGTTTAACATTAATGTTATTCGAGAACGAATTTCTCATGAAAACGTTAATTTGTATCTGAAGATAACTTCAATTTTATGTGAATGTTACGTATACTTTTAGTTAGGTTTATGAACTAAGTTTTGAATCTCGTATCATCTTGGAAACCAACTGTACTGAACTGAAAATTACGATTTTTACTTTCAAATGCTCTAACAAAATAGTAATTAGCACTATATCTTGATAGAGTCACACGCACTCACACTTCGTTTTCCCGCCGAAACGGCAGCCATGTTGGCACAACAGCGCCATTCGAGTAGCGCGCGTGACGCTGATAATGAGAACTACGAGGGCTCTTGAGGTAGTGACGTGCCTTATCGATAATCGAAGGAGTGATCGAGAATATCGCATGGCTCGCTGCCTGTATGCAAAATAGTGGGACTAAATTAGCAGTGTGGGTTCGGGTGAGACTCTTTGAAAATCACGTGGCTGCGCTTAAATTTGGTAGGTACTTGCAAATAGAACAACAGCACTTGATTACAAACTCTGAAATAGAATTATTAATCTGGTTAGTCTGGTTACTTTTTATCACACATCATTATTAGCGTCATTCATATTGTCAACAGCTTATTACAATAATTTAACAAAATTAGATAAGTCGTCTACCAAATGACCACCACAGCCAACAAATTTAAACCGTTTAACAAAAGAAAAAAAAAGCAGATGCTCAACCTTTTACCACCAACGAATAGGACCAATAAAATGTTTATAATTAACGAAATTCGGTGAAAAAATCTATAGGCAACTTTTAAAATGACATATTGATTTTTATCTATGGCCCTTTGAAAATAATTATGAATGAATGCTAGCGAAACGACAGGATGATTAAAAAGTAACTGTGGGTGTCAGTGGCTAAGGTTCATATTGTTTTGCGGTGTTGTTTTCGAAGTGTAAAATTGAGGTTGTCGTTTGCGGTCAAGGAGCAAACAACGGTGTTTTGTTTTTTATCGATATTATAAAGGATGTGTTATTAAATAGGTCGGTTTGGGGTGTGAAGTCTATAAACATATTTTTTCCAATTCGAATTGTTTCGCCGTGGTTCGACAAGGTTAAAGTTAGGGTAGATAATAATATGTATTCTGATTTTCTATAGAATTTTGTTGTAATTTCAAATACTTCTATACTTTGGAGACAATTGTGAATTAGCTGGATGTTCCGTGTAGTATTTAAAACTTAACGACCATGACCAGTATACTAAACAATATTCGTAACTTCTTATTTGAGATAAAAATAAACTAATTAGCAGGGTTACTAATCAAACATTAATGATAAATATTAAACCATTTGTCATTAATGTTTTCTCATAGAATGAGAGATCAGGGATTAATGGATAATCGCAACATGTATTACACGCGCCTCTAGGAATTGCAAGAATCTCAAAACAGACTACCATACAAAATGAACAACAAGATCAACAATGTTTTTAAACACAATTATTTTGGTTTATTAAAAAATGCTTAATTGAATGCTAAAAACGATCTATGTTATTTTTATAATAACTAACGTAAGACGTATTAAATTAACTAAAAATCGCGGGTTACTCGCGTGAATATACTGACAAAAGCTCTACTAGTTCATGAGTATGAGTCTCTAGCAAGGCTTGAAACTAGTCGAGTTCCTCGTCAAATTATTACGTGAGTAAGCCGAAAACATAATAATTTATTTAGTATGTCTCACGAAAGTTACAATAAAAACCACATAAATGCATTTAAACCTAGTTAATCAAAGAAGATCAGCCAAGTGGCTTGGTACCAGACAGTGGAACCAGTGCCAAAAGTCAAGTTATATTGCAGGGTAAATTCAAGTGATCGTTAGTCACTTTGTCTTACACAAGACGCCTTGAAGCTTGACTTATGGAGCTAATCGATTAATGTGGTAAATGTGGCAATTTGAGGGTGTCTGTAGTCTCCCTGTTGTTATATGAAATTGTCTTGACAATGTGTTGGTGAAGAGCTGATCGATTATTGAAGGTATTGATGAGTATCGAGAACGGATTCTTTAGGTGTTCTGCGATGTCCTTTTTTAGGAATATTTACTTTCATCCACTAACATCAGAACAAGCAACACATGAAACGCGTATCCATTTTTTGTCTACCAACAACAGAACATGACATTATGCCTTTTATCCCCGATGGGGTAGGCAGAGGTGCACTCTACTGCACACTTATCGGTGATATTATGTTATGTTATGTCTACCAACATATATGATTGTACTCAACAGTGCAACAATGACTAAAAAGTGAACACCACATGTCCATAAATGAGAATGGGTATTCAAAGTACTTTTTTCATCTTTGTACCTTTCGTAACTTATATCAGAGACAAATATTCAAGGTCTAAAATAACTTACAACAACATAAACGACTAAATAAAATCAATTGTACCCCAACATTATTTAACTTACTACACAACCTTGTGAGTTGTTATTTACAATCTCTAATTAAAAACTAATGGCACGATAAAAAATAAATTAATAAATGGATTCCCCATTTTATAAAAACAATAAACAATGGTTTAAACAACCTCCTAACCACGGAGAAAAAAATTCGTTAGCATGATTCCTTCACCTGTCTTTGGGAATGGTCAAGTGCGATACAACTGGTGTATTATAGAGTTGTGAAATGTATTTTGGTGTTTGTTTTGAGGAAACCATTGTAGTCAAAGGTCTAAGTGGATAAAAAAAATATATATACAGTGAAACCTGGTTAAGTGAGACATCAAGGGACCTGCAATGTCGTTTCACTTATAGAGGTTTCCCATCACCATATAAATAAATATCTGTCTCATTTACAGAGGGTTCCATTAATAGAGGTGGACTTGGAATTACGTATGAAATTTGTGGGTAGAATAAAAATGAGTAAACAAACAATGTTATCTCGGTTACAGAGGTTTATGCATATAAAATTTACTCGCTGTCTCAGTTATAGAGGTAACTATGATGATAAATCGAAAGAACAAATACCAGGTTTACCCCGTCCCACTAACAGAGGTAAGTCAGTGCCAAAGTGTTGGGACCACAGCATGAGTTCCAGTTATGGAAATTTCTCACTTATCCAGGTCCCACTTTACCAAGTTTCACTGTATAACATTCTACTAACAGGCTAATAAGCAATGCAAAAATGCAACCACATAACGAAGTTAAAATAGTGTCATCATAATTACGAAAGTGAACAAAAACCACAAATACTGACCTCGTAACATGAAAATGAACAAAAGTCCCGACTCCCGAACGAAATGTAAAACCAGATAGTTCACTCATACTTTTATAATTAAACATTTGCTAAAATGTAATCCAAAACGAACAAAATATTTACAGCAAACATTTGTGGATGTTAACTTCAACGCAGTTTTATTAACGCT